GAGTACCAGGCAGGTGGCAGCTCCCCAGAGCACTCCTAGCCCTGACCTAGGCAATGGTTCCCTGCTGGGTCCCAGATTGTCGGGGCCCTGAGTGCAGCAAGGAGCTGCTGCCCTTGTCCCCACTGTCCCCTGGCCCAGTCTTGTCGTCCTCCAGCAGCCAGAGGTGGGCCGAGAGGCCAGGGCTGGCTGCAATGAGGGAGGGGGGACCCCCACCCCAAGAAACTGGGGCTGCTTGCAGCCAGGAGGACGTGGAGGGGGAGGGAGGGCAAGAGGCCAGGGCTGCAACCAAGGAGATGTATGGAGGGTCCAGGGGTGGGAGCCAAGAGGCTGGGGCTGGCTGTGGCACGAGGCTAGGGCTGGCATGGCCCCCGGCCCTCCCCAGTGGGCGTGTGTGTGTGTGTGTGTAAGGCCAGGGCTGTCTACCCCCCCAGATAGGGAGGTTGGCAAGTGTAGTAAGCAGGGGGCACTGCCCCCTAGTACGAGTTGGAGAAGAGCAGAAAGGAAACAGCAGCTGAGAGGCTGGTTGGGTCACACTGTGCATTTGAAAGGGGGAGAAGAAGAAAGGAACCAGTAGCTGAGGTGGGTCTAGGGATGTGAAAGTATAACTGTGTGAACGGTTCACCAATGAACTTGGGCTCATCAGTTAACACTGCCATCCCGCTGTCTCTGTACCAGAGGCAGCAGTGCAGGGCAGCAGGTGGAACCTGGCACACATGGGGAGCCAGCTGAAAATCCAGTTCCTGGCATGTACCAGCTCCCAGCGAGCTGCCTTCTGCTCTGTGCTATGCATCTGTCTGCGGTGCACATGTAGTGGGGGGGCAGAACCCTCACTATAATCCCCACACATACTCGTTCCATTACTCTCACTCTCCTTTGTATGATTTTTTTTCCAGGGTTTGAAAATCTTCCTCTTTATACTTGTAACCAAGAACAGGGAAAAACAGCAACAAATACTCAGATGGGGCAGTACTGAAAACACATGGTCTGTGAACAGATTTCTTTAGTGAAATTTTTCAGAGATTTGCTAAAGAAATCTGCAAGATTTAGTGTTTCATTACTCCTCACAGGAAAAGAAGCCAGCTAGGACATGGAAACATACACATTTTCATGATAATTCACAATAGATGGCTCTGAATGCCACAAAGCAGCTATGAAAATCTTTGGGGTAGCAGAAAACTATATCTGTTCCCACATAAACCTCAACAAATATAGAAGCAATACGGAGACATGCTCCTCTGACCCCAGACTATGCCCAGAAAGCCCAAGGATTTAGTTGCAATGGGAACTAGGGATGTAATAGTGTAGTCGATTAACCAATACAGCATTAACCTATGAGGTTTTGCTTAGACTACACGTATTTCCCCCCACCCCTTGCCAATAATTTTAGCAGCAGGCTGGCCAGCAGCTCAGCTCAGTCCCAGCTTGCACTAGGCCCTGAACCTACACTTGCTGTGGCTCTGCATTTAAAGTGTATTAGGAGCCAGGTGGGCAGGCAGCTCGGCTCAATTCCGGCTTGTGCTGGGTCCAGGAGCTCAGACCACTTTCTCCCGGACAGAGAATAGTCAACTAACTGATAAAAAAATCATGAGGTTAATTGACATTCAGTTAACCGGTAGTTAACATCCCTAGTGGGAACGGTTCTTTAGATGGAATAGCAGTATCGTTTCTTTTCCATAGTCCCAAAACTCTTCTCAGACTTCCCAACTACACCCTAACCCAAGAACTCAGCACTTCCTGTGGATTTCAAGGGGCCTTAGTGATAAAGGATGAAGAGTTACAGGACAGCTGGAGTCATGTGTCTGATACTGTGGGCATGTTGTACACTCACCCATTTGTCACTAGCACTCCACTTGGAGCCACATCTCGGTTAAGTGCTTCCAAAGACCATCGATACAAGTTCTGGGAGGACTTCTTGTTAGTTAAGTCATGCACTAATATTATACCTAAACAGAGAGAAAAAAAAAAAGACAGAACATTCCTTAATCATATGGTATTTTCCTAAACTCACCTTTGCACATCAGAGACTAGAAAACTGTGCAACTGAGAAAGAAGAGAGCCTCATCTGGAGTCAGGCTGAAAACATTAGCAAGGAGGAGCTATGTGGTACTACAGGCAGTCCCCGGGTTACGTACAAGATAGGGACTGTAGGTTTGTTCTTAAGTTGAATTTGTATGTAAGTTGGAACTGGTACATATTGTAGGGGAAACACTAGCCAAACATTTCTCCAGAGCTCAGTTTTATTCTCCCACACCTCACTTCCCTCAGTCCTTTATTCTCAAGATGAGGTGTCTGCTGAGAAAAGCCGCTCCGCGTCTCCCTGGTCTGCTGGGGGGGGCGCTAGCTTCGCGTCTCCCTGGTCTGCTGGGGGGAAGCAGCTAGTGC